AAAAAAAAACAGGTTTCGGGGGCAACACCGCTGAGATCTTTTCCTAGTAGAGGGGAAGAATGTGCTCCTAGCACAATTCAAACGCCCATAAAGCCTCTGAAGCCCTAAGTTGTATATAAAATAGTCCGTTTCGAGCCAACACACACACACACGCACACTTGTGTTTTCCCAACAGAAAGTGGCCTTTGTTACAAAGGCAGTGTAGCGCAGCCAGAGAAGGGGAGAAATGGTTAATCTTTCCCTAATGAGTGTGTGAGTATGTTGTGCTTCTGGTTTCATTAAACAGGCCTTGCGGAAAGATGAAAGGGCTCCAGATTAATCAGTGTTGGTTGAGAGTCATGCTCAAATCCAGTGTTTCTCAACCTTGGCAACTTGAAGATGTCTGGACTTGAAGTCCCAGAATTCCTGGCTGGGGAATTCTGGGACTTCAAGTCCAGACATCTTCAAGTTGCCAAGGTTGAGAAACACTGCTCTAATTGTTTAGCAGCCAAGTAGCCAACTCCTCAGTTACCAATTGGGTACAGCAAGGGTCCTCCGTGTTACAGAGGGCGTCTCAGTTAATGGAAACAAAATAATGTCCCAGTTCGGTTTAATGAGTGCCATGTTGGAGCCAGGTGCAAGTTCTCAGCAAGGACGGGGTGGATGTTTATGGTTGGGAAAAGTAGCCCTTTCTCACGGAAGCAGAGGAAAAAATAACATCACTGGGCACGTAAGGCTGACGAGGAAGAGTTTAAAACTCCCTAACTCCCGTCAGCACAATTAACCAGGGGAACAATTTGCCTTCAGAAGTTGTGGGGGCTTCGTCATTTAAGAAGAGGCTAGACAGTCACTTGATTGAAATGGTCTAGGGCAGTGGTTCCCAAACTTGGCAACTTTAAGACTTGTGGACTTCAACTCCTAGAATTCTGGGAGTTGAATTCCACAAGTCTTAAAGTTGCCAGGTTTGGGAACCACTGGTCTAGGGTCTGCCACTTGAGTAGAGGGCTGGACTAGATGACCTCCCGGGGGTCCCTTTCCCAGCTCTATTCTGATTGGTGGATCCGATTGAAAACAGGAACGGTTTTGCAGATTTCGCCGCGATTGAAGGACATTTGTGTTTTTTTCTTAAATGAAAATTTTGAAAAACAAACTTTTTACAAATATTTTAGCAGAATTATATTCCATCTCCTTAGGTATAGAGATGAATCCTTCCTTCCTTCCTTCCTTCCTTCCTTCCTTCCTTCCTTCCTTCCTTCCTTCCTTCCTGTTGTGGCCCGCCAGTGGAGCTGGCGGCAGATTCAGACAGTGAGGAGGTTGGGGAGGAACCTGGGCCAGTCCTGGAGTTTGGGGAAGGCTCTGATGAGGACTCTGTGTCGGAGGCAGAGAGGGGGCCAGGGCCATCTGACAGTTATCAGCTGCCTTCAGAGTCAGACATCAGTGGGGCAGAAGAACAGCTGGAGCCTGTTCCCAGTGTGCACACGCGCAGAATTGCCAGAGGAAAGGAACAGCTAAAGAACAAGGGCTGACTCAGGAGTAAAGGCACAGGTGGACGGTGAATGGCCCCTCCCAGAGGACATAAAAGAGGAGCGAAAGGGGAGTGGAGTTTGCAGGAGACCATTAGTTCACTTAATTGGTGAGACTCCTGGCCAAGTTCTGCATGTATTGTCCTGGGAGCTCTCCAAGCCAGATAAGGGCTGTGACTATAAATCCTCCCTTGAAAGACTTTGCTGAAGGCGAAGGAGCAGAATTCCCAGTAAATTAATAAAAAGATTTTTTGAGGGGGACAAGGAGTTTGCTTCAGGCTCTTGGGAAGCCTTGGTCAGAACACTTCCTCCCTCCCTCTTTCTCTTTTTCTCTCTCTCTGTTTTTCTGTGCGTACGTCTTTCCAGTGAGAGTAAACATTAATTTCCTGCAATAGGATGGTGTTGCATTCACAATTGTGGGGTTGTTGCCCTTTCCCCATTAATAATGCCTTTTTATTATTGTGTCATCCTGACTTGACGCTAAAAATAGGGATTTGAAGGGAAAATAAATCTGAAGACGAGACATTTTTGTGAGACAAGCAAGGGAGGACAGTGAGCGATTCAAGGTTTTACCCCCACAGCTTCGATGGGGGACGAGGATCAAATTACGCGAAAGGGAAGCTAACATGAGTGCAGCAGGTGAGGGAAACCCCTCCCCTTTTTCTCTGTCGCTTCAGAGGGGTAATATTTAATTTGTGTTTGCTAAAAACAATGTGCCTTTATTGTGAATGAAACAAAGAGCTCGGCTGGTTTCTTTTGATGTTCGTAAATATGTGGGGTAGTTCAAGTCCCTTCCCCCTCCCTTGGCGTATGAATCAAAGGAACCACCTCCTTTTAGAGAGGGTAGGAAGGGAAAGAGGAAGAGCAGGAGTAGGAGAAAGGTACAGGAAGAAGGAAGGGAAAGGAGAGGAGGAAGGNGTTCTACCCAGACCAAAATAAGACATTGAGAAGGTTCTAGCAATGGAGTCCTTGGTGCTCTCTGAGCTCATTTCAACCCTGGACTATATTATCAGTGAATGCTGGCTGGGGAATTCTGGTAGTTGAAGTCCGGACATCTTCAAGTTGCCAAGGTTGAGAAACACTGACCTAGATTTATTCAGATGGAGCGAATTCTGATGTTGCATTGGAGAATGAATGTCCAGATCTAAGAGATATTTGGCAAACCTTTGTCACTCTCGCTCTAAATAATGTGGTAACCTTGAATTCTAAGTCTCTGCTTATCCCTAACACCATGTCCTTTACGGACAAATAGAATAACATCAGCTCTGGTCTGGATCCTTTGGAGACCACATGAGGCCCATGCCCCCTTTAGAAGGACCTGTGATTTCTGAAGACTCTGCTTCATCTTCAGGAATTCCTAAAAACAATCATCCTGGCCATAATTTCTATGAGTTATAGCCTGAAGTCAGGAGGGCTTTACGCTTGGAATAAAAAAAATAATCAGATTTCAGGCCAGTGGGAGGATTGAGCTGGTGGGCTGAGCTGAATTGGCAGGTGGGAGTGCTATCTTGCTCTCCTATTTAATAGTGCGTTGCACTTCTTTGTGTACACACAGGGGCCTGGAGGACCTTGGGAGAGGCCCACAAAAGGACCGTAGCAAATTTCACAAACGGTTGCGTTGCAGTTCCATGGAGAGAAAGCCGGAGAGTTTCCTAAATAATCTGAACAGATCTCATCTTTAAAGGCTACTACTTACTTTAGGACAAGAAGGAAAAATCTACCCCCGTGTCCTAAAGATCGGAGCAAGAGGTTTTGGGGACACGTGCCTTCAAAATATTGTTTTGATAGTTTCTCTGAGGGACAAGGTGTGATGGCATATTGGAAATTTGTGCAAAGGGAACAGGTGATCGTAGGGAATCCCAAGAAGCGATTGGACAGCCAATTTGTCCACAATGGTGTAGGGTCTCCTACTTGGGCAGGGAATTGGGCTAGATGACCTCTAAGGTCTCTTCCAGNGTCCCAGAATTCCCCAGCCAGCATTCGCTGGCTGGGGAATTCTGGGACTTGAAGTCCGGACATCTTCAAGTGGCCAAGGTTGAGAAACACTGCTTTAGAGCTTCGTTGAAAGTAATTACGTATGTGCCTGTTACACTGAGAAATATTTTATTTAGATGTATTTCCAGGCAGTGCCAACAATTAATGGATGCTGCTTTGAACTTGTAGTTCAAAGGATCTGTATGCGTGGTTTAGAGATCTAGGATTTCACTGTATATTTTTATGACCTTTCTATACCGAAGCAAAGAAGAGATATTTTTCCATGACTATTCGTGAATGTTAGTTTATGTAGAACCAGCAGCCAAGATAAGAAGACTGGAAGGATTAACTTGTGAAAAATAAGTTCCAGAAGTATGTTTAGAAGTCAGTGGGAAGGCATGATAATTGTCTTCGTGGAGCTGAAGCAAACCATGGATTTGATGCCAGGAAGAAGTGGGGAGGTCACCTTATTCTCCAGAGCACCTGAGAGTGGGGCAAGAAGCCATGGATGGAAACTAACCAAGGAGAGAAGCAACCTAGAACTAAGGAGGAGTGAGGACAATCAACCAGTGGAAAGGCTTCGCTCCAGAAGTTGTGGGTGCTCCATCGTTGGAGGCTTTGAACAAGAGCTTGGACAACCATTCTTCTGGATGGCTACAGGTTCTCCTCCTTGAGAATGGAGTTGGTCTAGAAGACTTCCAAGGTCCTTCCAACCCTGCTATTCTGTTATCTGAAAGGCTGACATGACAAAGGTGAATTGTTCTGAATTCTTCCCCAAAACAGGAGCAGAACAGTTGAGTTTCAATTGCAACAGACCAGATTAAAATTGAACGTAAGGAAGACCTTCTTAACAGCAAAAGGTGTGTATGGAGATTCTCCAGTCCTCCAGGTCATGGTTGTCCCAAAGGTGCTTTTTCAAGAGGCAGTTGGACTTCCTGGTTTTTCTTTGAAGACCTTTTGCTGAAGAAGCTTCTTCAGCTCTTGGAACAGGAAAAGTTCTTTACAGTGGAAAGCAAATGAGATGTTGGAAATTCACACAGCGGAGATGCTGAAACAAGAGTCAAGAATGATCTAGCAGTGGATTCCTGCAATGGGGAGACAGTTGGATCACAAGATCTCCAAAGTCCCTCCTTGTCTCTTCTAGGAGATTATCTAGAACAGCGATGGCACTGAGTGCTGAAAAGGGAGCACGCACGCACACATGCGTTGGGGCCCCAACCAGGAAGAGGAGTAGCTCAAGGACCATGCAAATGCTGAAAAATGAGCTTTTGCTCCTGGCGTGCATGCGTGATGTACCCGTGGTTCGCCCATGAGGCCACTGTTGAGAAAAGACACGGACACGAGCTCTTCTCGGGATGAGGCGACCCAGATTGGGGTCTGG